ACATGTCAAAATAGTTTATTTTGCGAATATCTTTGCACAGAAAAATAGTAAAATCTTGATCTTTTATTTTTTTTTAAAGATGCACCATGGGAAGCTCTAATCTACATAATAGTGTTACTTTTCACCATATTGTACGCAATAAAAATATATGGAAGATTTTTTTGTTTTGCACTAAAGATTTGTTCATACAGCTTTTATAGAGCTCTCGGCGGTTCATTGTTAAAAAAAGCAAGATATTATCATTTTCTTTCGCCTAGGCATACGCAAAATAATTTTTAAAAAAATCTTCCAAACAATTTTATTATGCTCGACATGATGGGAAGTAGTGCTATCATGTGAGTTGTACATTTTGAGTATGAGAAAAATCATCAGAGCGTGTCAGTAGAGATTGCTGCTGATACAATGTTTGTGAAGTATTTCGTGGCACCTTTTTTTAAAAAAAGATCACGATTCTATCATTCACCTAAGCCGAGATAAAAAATGTTGTAAATATTTTGGCACAATCGATATAATTCAAATTTAAGAAAATTTTTTCACCATCAACTTGATATGTAAAAGAGAAAAGTGTATATGGGAGTGAAACTTCGAATTTTTCTTACGAAAATCACCAAACGATTCTCTATTTATTTAGTATTTGTTGATACTGGTATTCGAATTGGAACTGATGTGTTAAAAGCATTAGCATTAGGTGCACGAGCTGTTTTGATCGGTCGACCAATTTTATATGGATTGGCTTGTGGCGGACAAGATGGTGTTCGAAGAGTATTAGATATATTAAAACATGAATTAGTTTATGATATGGCTTGTTGTGGATTAACATCGATTGATCAAATTAATAAAGATATTCTTTATAAACATTAATAGAAATAAAAGTGAAAGATAGGCATTTGAATTGAATTTTCTTTATTCTATTCTTTTAATCCTTTTATGACGTTTCCACTTATTAAACGATTATTTGGGTGTGGTTGTGAAGAAGAAAATACTCACGCCTAATTACATTCTCACACCCACACCTTACTCCTTGTCGATTCCTCTTTGCATCAATGCCTTGCCTAGAAAATATTTTTAAAAGAACCAAGTTAAAATTGAATCAAATACTATTTTTATTAAAGCATCAAGAAATAGCAAGTAGGGTAATAGCCACATGTCTATCTAACATTAGAAAACATATTCGAATCAGAATAGGAATTGTGAACATGATCTGACTTGTAGAAAACATTTCTAATAAATTTTTTTTATTGTATAATATGATAAAAGATAAAAAACAAATCTAATATAGTTTTTATCATGAGGAATTGAATTATTTGTACTATTGAGACTTGTTGAATAATTTCAACACATACTACTTTTACTTGTTTGATAAGAAACGACCTCGATTTAGGTTTATTGATAATGGAGGATGTGAAGTTCGCCAACCATTGTACACATTGTTGATGAGCATTCGTCTACTTTATTTTGAATTCATTTTTAAAAGATAAAGAAAATAGCCAAACAAACCTGTTAATAAATTGTGGACTTTTCTATTTGATGGAATTTGTTCTATTTTTCTATATGACCCAGTTCATATAAGGTACCACCTAACTTGTTCGATCGAGGTCATTTGATTTTGCTCAATTTAATATGTATTGTAGGAGTGGGGAGTTTCAAGAATTTTGATGCAAGCCGTTTGAAAAAAAATTGTTCTTCTATTCTTGAGATATTGATCGCAAGATACTATTCTGTAGTATTGAGAAAAAAATGAGCTTAAATGAATGCACTATTAATTCAAAAAATCGATATGATAAAACTCTTTGAATAATTTCTAAGCGAGCTTCGGTAAATTTCCTATAGAAAAGGGTTCATTGTTGAAGATTTTTCAATAAGTCTTCTAAAACCATTCTTTGAGATCGCACGTCAATTTTTTTTCATAATGCCGTAGTACTCAGTAGGGGATGGGTGGAAGTTGAGCACGAGGAAAGTTGAGCACGGGAAAGATCAGCACCGGAAAGATGAGCACAAGGAAAGTTGAGCACGAGGAAAGTTAAGCACGAAAAAAAATATTAGCATATAGATAAGTTTATTAACTAAGTATTAAATTTTTTTTCGCTTTTATCATAAACTAATGACAAAAAACGAATTACAATGAAATATTATGTGCTAATGAATTGATTTGAGTTAAAATATCTTGATGAGGATTTGAGATAAGATTTATTAATCGTTTTTCGAAACGTTCGCTATTTTTCTTGATTTTTGGAGGTTGTCCTGCTCGTATTTGTACGATATCAGCATGTGTAGCATTTTCTTCGTCGATTAGTTTTTGAAGGAATACCCACAATGTTGGATAAGCACATTGGAATATTGATCCTATTCGTCGATGATATGCTTCAGCTGCATTATTTGTTCTCATTAAAGAATGCGTGGTCCGATTGTACATATTCCAGAATTCAATGCTGAATGTGGGTTTTCTTCGTGTAAGATTTGCTCGTAATCGTCCTAAAACACAGCCACCTGATTTTTTTGATTTTGAAAGACAAAAACCACTTACCAATATATGTTTCCTCGAAGTAATCAATAATACTTTGATAATCATCATCATCAAGACTTAATGACAACGCTTCAAAACCTTTTACGACATCGTCAGGTTTGAGAAAAGCTAATGCAGCTAATCTGTGTATATTATGAGCAAATACTGAATCATCATTGTATTTATTTTGATGACCAAGTGACTAAATACAAAAGTCGTATCATAATTATATTACTAGTTAGTTAGTTACCCATTATATGATTACCTGTAGCTTCCGGTGGAGATTTTGTCGAAAGTGAAGTAGCAGCCAGATAATAAAGCATTTGGAAAAGTTGTATCGTAAACACCTATGCACGCTTGCTCAAAATCCAGCATAATTGAATCAGGAGTCCAATGTGGAGCAAATTCAAGCACTCTATCAACTAAATCCTTATATGTTGCATCATTTTTTCGTCGTAACAAAGCATATACTACAGGTACAACATGATCACGATATATTGCGTGAATTATATAAAGTTGATAAAAGACCAACGGGACGACTTTAAAGGCCCCGTCAACAAGAAGATCATTAGTTGATTGTAAAATATTAAGTTGCTCAGTACTAGCAAATATCAATATTCTTTCATTGCCTTCAAAAGCAGGGTGTGGGGTGGTGTGGGTGTGGGTGTGGGTGTGGGTGCGAGTGAATTCCAGATCTACACCCACACCCAGACCCATCCACCCACACCCACACCCAAACCCTCACCCACACACCCGCCCACACCTACACCCACACCCACACCCTGAGATATATAATTTGAAAAGGTCATATTCTATTATATTATTATCAATCTATTTTTCTGTTCGAATAATCGTCTTGAATCTGTCTCGTTGGTTGATATGTACACTTGAAACACACAATAACGACAGGCGATAAATCTTCTCGTTATCGTTCGAAAAGAAGAATCGAATGAGTGATTCAGAATCACACGTTTTAGTACCATTTGAGTTAAAGAAACGATGTTTGTTGCATTATGTAATAATTGACATAGTCTATGAAAGAAAAACCGAACGGAACCTAAAACTATTTTAGTTAGCTGTTGTAGTGTAAGAATATGATTGAGAACAGTTGTAAATGATTGTAGTTTGATATGAAAATTACTACTGAATATTAGACAAGTAGTATTTGTAAAATAATAGACTCAATGTTTGATTGTGCTTTCATCCTTTATATAAACATGATGGACCGATTTAAAATTTGCTTGTTGATCATATGAGCGAGTATTATTATCCATATTTTCTACTATGTAATGTTTTCTTCTGTAGGAAAAATAAATTATCAGAATCTATCATATTGACATAAAATAACCCATTGATACTCGAAGAACCATTGTTTTTTCAAATCAAAAATCGAGAATTGAATTGATTGAACAAAGAATATATTAATTCAATATTGAATATATGCAAATATGATAAATATTTAGATATTAATTGTTCTCATCGATTAGAATTCATATGTTTTGAATCGAGATGTCTAGAAACATGTAAAACTTGAATTTGATGCAAAAAATTTTCCATCAATATTTCCAATTGATTAAAACATATTATATCAAAGAAGAAATAAACGACGAAGTTGAGGAACATACGATACAATACGATTCAGATCATCGATGTGAACTGAAATTAAGATGAGGGTGTGGGTGTGGGTAGAGATTCACACAGTCACAGCCACACCCATCCACAGTCACACCCACACCCATCCACAGTGTTATCGAGGTCATTCTCAATGACCCGCATGGCATGACTCTCTCATGACCATCTTTATGACCATGGCGCCGTCATCGTCCGATTGTTCAAGGTATGACCTGACGGGTATACGCATCACCACACCTATATATACCCTCTCATTCTATCCAATCGACATTCGTTTTTCCCTTTCGATTGTTTCTCGTTCTTCTTGTTGTTTCTTTATAAATAAAGATAGAAACCAGTGCTAACACACAGTCACACCCACACCCATCCACAGTCACACCCACACCCATCCACAGTCACACCCACACCCATCCACAGTCACACCCACACCCATCCACAGTCACAC